GTCGCACTGGTAATCCGATGTGCAGCCGGCTAGGACGGGGAGGGGCACTAGGTCGATGCATGTCACCAAACCTTCACCACGGTAGCTTTCTGCACAGAAGATAGTGGTTCCGTCTCCCTTGGAAGACGTATTTCTCTAGCCTACTCAACACATGTAACAAACGCCTCAAAAAATGCTACGCGCACTCTATCAACCCAAGAACAACGCTCGATAAGCCATTGGCTCGTGAATATTGGAACATGCGCATCGCTTGTCGAGATGGCGCAGATATATGTAGGAAATGCGGAATTGTCGATGTGTACACCGCGTGTACTCTAGTCCTCGTCCTGTCCGACTTGCTTGTACCTTCCGCTCGTACTGTCACCCTCGCCGTTACCCTTTGTCCTCTTAACCATGTTGCTGATCCAGCCACCGATGCCTTCACCGTTCTCGGTGTCCGCCTTGGCCATGTCCTTGTTGTTGCCGCTCTCGATGTCAGGAGGGTCGATGTTGAGTCCAGGAATGGCCTCGTCTTGCGCGCGGCGTCCGCGGATATCGAGCGATGGAACAGGAGAGCCGCGGCCTTCTCCGCTGAAAAGTGATTCGGCTTGCGCCAGGGTCTCCGGAGTGGGCATGACTGAGGTAGCGTCTCCGAACAGGGAGTTCATGTCTTCCAGGCGGACGTTGGCAGTTTCTGGGTAGATGAAATATACTGAGTCTTGTTAGTGAACGGCTCAGCCCAAACGCCAGCCAAAACCTACCGATAACGAAACTGGCAGCGCAGAAGAATGCGTGGATGAGGTACAATCGCCACTGGATGTGCTCCTGCAGGATCGGAGTCATCTCACCAACCAGCCAGTTGAAAGCCCAGTTGGTCGCAGTACTCAGACTGGCACCCTTTGCACGAATGCTGAGGGGCAGGATCTCTGGTGGGTACAACCACGGAATAGGACCCCATGAGTATCCAAATGCGGCGTTGTAAATCATGACGAATATGACGACCATGTTGGGTGTCCAAGAAGCTTGCAGGAACTGGAAGTAGGAAATGGCGGAGAGGGAGATCAGCATCATGAGGGCTCCAGAGAGCAGAATCTTCCGACGACCCAGCGAGTCGACAATGTACCATGGTGGAATGGTGGAAAGCAGGTATGTGATGGCGTTGATACCAGTCATGAGAATGGCTTGGCGACCGTACCAACCAGCCTCTTCGAAGACGAGCGGTGCATAGTACGAGATGACGTTGATGCCGTTGAGTTGCGCGAGGGCTTGGGCGGACATGGCAATGAAGACGCGTTTGGAGTATCGCGTAAACATGTCTTTGTATGATCGTTCACCTTCTTGACGCTGGAGCAGGACGTTCATCTTGATCTCTCGGTATTCATCTCGTGCTTTGGGGTTGTGAATATCGCCCTTTCCGTACAAATTGGCAATAACTACAATACCCTCTTCGTCGTGATCGTTGTCTAAGAGCCATCTGTACGTGTTAGTGAAATTCTTGGATTAGAAGTGTATGGCAAACCTTGGGGATTCGCAGATAAGCAAGCTTCCTGCGGCCAGAAGAAGACCCATGATGCACTGCATGAAGAGCGGGACTCTCCACGACCAGTCGTTCTTGATGTATGTGCAGAAGTAGTCAACCCACACACTGACTGCGTAACCTGTGATGTTGCCAGTGAATTCAATGCAACCCATCTTTCCTCGATTGTGGGGCGGCGAGATTTCGGACTGGTATACGGGTACGATGGTAGATAGCGATCCGACTCCCAGACCGGCGATGACTCTGCCGAGAAGCATCATGGGGATACCGGTAGCGAATGTCTGGAGAGCGCCGCCGACGACGAAGATGAGGGAGCCGTACAAGATGGTCTTGCGTCTTCCGATCACATCGCCGATACGGCCAACGACCAGCGAGGAGATAAAGGCACCAACTTCCAGGATAGCCACCATCGTACCGAGCTCGGCGGCGGAAGGCTGGTTGAAGTAGTCCTTGAAGTAGATGCCGCTGTGATACTATTAGACATGGCCAAGTACAGAGGGTGCGTAAGGGCGTACGTGATGATACCGGACATGACTCCCTGATCATAACCGAACAGGAACACGCCTAACGAGACGAAGACACTGGTGAAGTAGCTGCTGCTGTTAGCTCTGAGCTTCCTGTCGTGGCATCCGCTCTACCCACATCAACTTCTTTCCGTGTAACCCGTGAATACGGGAGGGCCCATCGTTGGGTGCCATGATGCGAGCAAGTATCTGCTCTGCCTTTGAGATAGTGCGTGGCCCAGGGTCGGGGATCTCGATGTCTTCGAGTCGGAGTTGGTGGGCGCCCTTTTCGTGGAGGTCCTGAGATGCAAAGCGCGCTCGCTTTTGCTTTTGGCGTGGCCGCGACGGGTTGCCGGCTTCAAGGTTGATGCGGAGGGGATCTTCTCGGTCAGCTAGCTGGTCGACGAGGTCACCAGTATCGCTCCAGACGGAGAGGTCCGAGTCGGACGATGGGGTGTCGAAGGAGGAGCGCGCGCTGTCCTTATCGTGGTCGTCGAGCAGATAAGCAGAGTCGTGGTCTCGGGGACGGGCCGAGCTCGAGAGGTTGTGGAGGGGGATGTTGGCAGGCCTCCTGGTGCTGTTGGAGTGGGACGGAATGGTGAAGGTCACAGGCTGTTGGGAGACAGCCCTCTTCTCCGAGAGATGGTGGTAGGAAGAACGAACGAGGCCAAAGGCGGCTGCTGGGGCACGTCACAGGGTCAAGCAGCCGAGACGAGGGATCTGGTAAGGCTAGCGCAAAGGCGGTGAGAACTCGGTCGCATTGGGCTACAATGGGGAAAAAGACAGTCACGACGATAGCGCCTGGTTGAGATCAGACGTCCACAGGTGCATGCGAACGTGTGAGCTCCCTGTTCGGGCTGCCTTGCCGTCATTTCTTGGCACCCATGTACACTCCTTCGCTGCTCGGTCCGACCATGTTGCGCATGGAGCCTGCTGGCGGGCGCGGCATCGTCTGCACGATGATGTACGCGCGCAGCAGAGGCTTTGTTTTTATCGCGGCTGTATCGCATCGAGTGACAGCCAGATGTACGGATCGCCATGTTCTCGCTACCACAATCCGATGCCGTTGACCGGAGGCTTGAGACGGAGGCTTGATAGCGGACATTAGATCCCGCGATGCAGCACACGACGTAGCCACGAGCTCTATGCTACGCCTACACTAAAGGCCCACCACCAACTTTGCGCCTTGTACGGGGCGGTGGAGGCGGGTCCCGAGGTCACGTTGGGGTTGTAGTGTCGACGATTGGAGCCCCGCGTGGAGACTGACTGCAAAGCGGAAAGATAGCCGCGATCAACTTCAATGTTGCACAACTCATGCGGTGTAGAAAAGAACACCGGCTAGTGGTAAAAACCCCATACAGATCACGAGACTCGATGCTATGTAAGGGAAGAGACGCAGGGCCACATGGCAGTTTTCGTGCGGAGAAGCAACATGGGCGGGCTCAGACGCGTTCTGTTCTTGCATCTTTCGCTTCGCACGTGAACGTGACAGCCCTAAAGTCTGCCGTCACTGGACGAGGTGAACACTAAGCAAAGAAACCGTCATTGCTTTGCTGGAGACGCGACTGAGCCATATGACAGATCTCGACACGCTTTATATACCCAACGCGTTCGCGTGTTTGCAATCTCCCCAAAACGCTGTGGTGAAGCGACTATAATACTAGCGTTAAACAGACATCAGTCAAATCCATCCTCGTCGATACAGTAGACGCCGGAGACCCTCCTGACGTTTGCAAGCTGGGGCCTCGCTTGCAGTGCGAAACACCCAACTTTTACGGCCCCAGGCACATACCGCTGGTGGGCAAAGGAGGTCCGCAGGTCGACCGTGCTGCTGTAGAGTTGAACAGCTGCAGGAAGGGCCTCTTCGCCAGAGTCAAGCCATCAACTCAATTAATGAGCGCCCTTGTACCACCGGTAGAGTTGGGAGTTCTGCGTCATGCTGGTTATGACACGCCCAAGGCCCATGGCTTGCTCTGCCGCCAGATGCTCCGTGATCTGCGGCCCCTCGCTGCAAGGGGAAAGGCGCCGTGGGAGTGATTGGCCCAGCAGACCCCAGTTTTGATTACCTGCCCAGATGTTTGTGTGGCAGCGTTCCTGTTTCTTGCTTCTGGCAGAGGCCTAAGAAGGTGTTTAACGCAATTGCCAGGCATCCCTTCACTGTAATCGACGTCGGACAACTCAATTGAAATTCAGCCTGCAGGGGGTTGGTTTAGCGCAGCACGCCCGCCCTGGTAACCAAACATTGAAAGCTCGCGGTCGGACCTGGCTCTCGCTCGGCGCGCCTGATTGGATTTGGCTGAAGACCTGCTTGGCTTCGTGCATTGTTTCGAGGAAGCTTCCCAGCGGCCCCAGCCACAGCGCATCATTACACCTCTCACCACCACGACCACGACTACGACCGCTCCACGATTCGCTTTCACGTCGCTTGCCTGTCCGCGCCGACCGCCCTCTCTTATCTGTCGCAGTGCGCACAACCCGATAACGAGCGCTCCACATAAAACCGCAAGGCTGAGGCTCACCTGCAGCTGTTGCTGCCGAAACGAAAAGCATGTCTAGATACGGAAAGGTATGTCGACGACGACTGCACGCCGCGAGAAGAAAACTGACCATCTAGTTTGACGATTTCTGCCGCGACACAGGCTCGAACTGGAGCACATTACCTGTCTGCTATGTACGTTGCGTCCTACCACCCCTTTGCCCGTCCACCGCCCGCGAACGCGCCGCTAACCCCATGTTTCGCAGCTCTTCAACCCAGCTTCGACAAAAGACGATAACGGATGGCAAGATGGCTGCATTCTACAGGGCTTCCCCGTTGGTGGAGGTGAAAGACTGCACAATCTGGGTACGAGGCACACGCGCGCTTCAACGACATTCCGCTTACACACCTAGGCTCCATATTAATCTGCGGCATCGCAATCCTCGCCTCGCTGTTCCTGCTATGGAGATCGCAAAGAAAGAAGGCCGCTGTTGGGCGCAGAGAAATGCAACTCTTCCTCCTCGGATACATCGTCATCTCCATCTGCGAGATCTTCACCATTGGCGGATTCCCCCTCAATTCCACTGTGCGCATTGTACGTACGCGATTCTACGTATCCACCTGCAGTATCTAATCTTTATACAGGTCTTTGTCGCGATCCACATCGCCGCAATCACCGCTACATCCTGGATCCTCATGCTCAACGGCGCCGTGGGCTACCAACTACTTGACGACGGCACGGCAGTATCTATCGGTCTGCTCTTGATCTCGTCGATCGTAATCTTTATCGGTACCGGCTACATTGCCCTCGACACTGGACTCAACTGGACGGGTTACTGGGAACAGACGCGCTTCGTGCCCAACCAGGCCTACGCGCTATACACCCTCTACCAGCTCGTTCCGTTAGTCTTCATCGTCATCTTCTTCCTCCTGGAAGCTTTCCTGGTGCTGCGTGTTCTCGGCGAGCGCAAGCCAATGCGTAAGGAATCGTCAATATTCTATCCAAATTATCACTAACTCCCTCCCAGTCTATCTCCTCGCAGCAGGCCTTCTATTCGCCATCGGTCAAATCTTCCAATACGTCATCAGCGTTCACATCTGCAACGGCACCGACGGAAAGATCAACGGAGGTCTATTCTCGACCCTCTTCACCCTCCTATCGGTAGTAATGATTTGGGTGTTCTGGTCGAGCATCACCGAAGACGACTGGCCCATGCCAACTGTCGCTGGCTCGGGCGCATATAATTAGGAACGAAGTGGTAATCTCGGGGGTGTACAGGCAACGGCGTAATGTTCTTATGATGGCTTTTGCCCGGCATAGCGTATACCATTTTGGGGCTCTTTGGACGCATTTGATGCGTCATGCTGAACTTGTGCTACGATATACATAATGTTTGCTGAATGGAATTATTTGATGTTCAGAACTCGTCTTTACATGCAAAAAGGTGAGGGATTAGGCACGACTGACTGGGTATATTGATGATCTATCGCTCGTCGCCAGGCATTATCGTCTAAACCTCTACCACAGCAGGCCTAAGAATTCCTTCATCCAGTCATCTCAGTATCCCCGTTGCTCGCTTCGGCCGCCACAGCCCCAGGATCCAGTCGACCCAAGCACCCCGGACAATTATGCAACACCATATGGGCAAAGACATCGCAATCGATACAAAAGTGACTCTCACAAGTCCGACATTCATACCTCCCACTCTCACTAGCCTTTTGCGCCTCACTATCTTCCTCATCTCTCTTCGTGCCATTGACCTCACCGTTTTGTTCAGCCTCAGTTCTCTGTCTGTTGCTACTCGGCGGACTGCTAAAAGAAACCAGACAGCCCACACATTGCGTGCTACCCTTCTCGCGGGCGCGCGACCAGGATACTGTTGACCAGTTGCGGAGAGGAAAGAGGTGGTGGTAAGACCGCGCGAGATGGGTGGAGAGGAGGAGAGTGAGCTGGCATGACGGACATGTGATGGGTAGGGAGCAGACTTTTGCGCTGCAGCGAGAACATGTGTAACCGCCCATTGTGAGGTTGCCGTGGCATGCGCACATGGTTAATTCGTCTTCAATGACTCGCGAAGGGAAGCCCATCATCATGAGCGCTGCTGCGGACTCGGGGGCTTGTGGTGCTGTTGCTTCGACGGCGGGTGCCGACGTACGGATTACAGGTGGTGTCGTGGTGGCAAGGAGGAGCTCTTTGAGCATTTCCTGGTCGGTTGCGATGGTATATTCGGAGTCGTCACCGGCGTTTGTCCGCGTTACGATTTCTGTGCAGATTTTAAGACGTGCGCCCATGCCGATGACGCTGACGCGAATCTTGTCTCGTACGCAGGCCTTGACCGTCTGGTGTATGTCTCCAGGGTCTAAACTCAACAAGCTACCAAAGACGACGATGACCTCTCGTGTACCGTGACTTGGTGTGTGGTATAGCGTCGCTCTTGCCAGCTCCAGCGCGTTCTGCAAACTGGGTGCGCCCTTGGGCTCTTTGCCATCGTCTTTACTCCTTAAGCCTTGTATCGCTGCGACGTGTTCGGCCGGGTTGCCTGAGAGCTCCGAGACTCGTATGCAGACGCCGTCGTGCATGCCGAGGACGCTCATCTGCGATATGGGGTTTTGCTCGAAGAATTCGCGGATGTAGTCTTGCGTGTAGTTGATCATCGTGATGAAGCGGTTCGGTCGCATGTCCTTCTCCATCATTGCCTCCGAGAGGTCAAGCACCAAGACGACATGGCGGATGATGCCTCGCTGGAAGGGCTTTGTGTCTTTCCGCAGTCGCTTTCGTTTCCTCTCTTCTTCCCGTTCTTGCACGCTTAGCCCCATTGTATCGTCCTCTGCCACTTGTGTCGTTTTCGCGACCGTCCGCGAGTCCTCTGTCTCCCATGCTTGCCGCTTCGGTGGTTCCTTTACAGGTACCTCCGCTTTCCGCCTCTTGCCAGGTGCCGTGGATTGCGCGCGTGTGGTGGAGGGACCACTCCTTGTGCCAATGTACTCGTCATCAGATCCTTCCCCCTCGAAATCATAATCCGAATCGGCCATCGTATGCGCGCAAGCTTGGAGTAGGTCAAAGAACTGTGGTAGGCGATATGTTTGTGTGGGTGTATGGATGTGTGGAGTTCAGGTGGATGATGCGCGTGCATAGGCGGAAGCGTGTCTCACCCGTGATAGGCTAAACGCGCTCTCACGTTTTCTTCGCAAGGAAGCCGCGTATGATTTACCCGTATCATCTTGCCGGCTGTGTTGCAATCCTGAGATTTGAAGCATATGTTCAGTTCCGTAACAAATCACGACCAAGCAGAGTGGTATTGGTTACGTTGTTAGAGTCCTCACATAAGATTTCAAGATCGCACTTCTGGCAACGGATATCTCCACATGGAAATGCCGAAGACGACCCCGCGACCGACGCGAACGTGGGGCAAAGTCCCGAACTCCACAACGGGCCATCTTGCATCAACACGCGCTGACTGCTTTATAAGCCTTTCCAGATCCCTGACTCCATGTTGGCACGTTCCTTGATACGCTGCACACGCACCGTTACTACTACCTCCAGACCGGTCTTTGCCTCTAGATCACAGTTACTGTTGCCTCCACTTCCACAAGTAAAGTACTTCAACACAACAGTAAGAGCGATGTCGGCGTTTGAGCGATTGATCCGATTTGAGGATAAGGATGGAAAGACGGTACATGGTAACTTAGAGAAGGAGGTGCCCACCAGGGACATCGAAGGAAGCAGTGTAGAAGTGTTGTCTGGGGACATCAAGAGTGGTTTCAAGAAGACGGGAGAGAAAGCTACAGTGGGAAAGGTATGCAATCCGTATTTATAAGAGGTACACATAGCAGGAAGAACTAATATCTAATAGCTCCTCAGCCCCGTCCCGACAACAAACATAATCCTCTGCGTGGGCCTCAACTACCGGCGCCATGCCGAAGAGTGCAACCTCGCTATCCCCTCCAACCCAGCCATCTTCACCAAACCCAGCGATGCCCTCGCAGGCCCCTTAGAAACCATTCCCATCCACCCGGACTGCCAATCGCAACTCGACTACGAAGGCGAACTCACCCTGGTCATTTCAAAGGATTGCAAGAATATTGCTGCTAAAGACTACGCCAACTACCTCCTTGGCTACACCATCTCCAACGACGTCTCCGCCCGAAACTATCAACTCCCTGCGGGTGTGTCGGGCGGCCAATTCGGCTACGCAAAGTCATTTGACAAGTTCGCTCCCGTAGGCCCGTGTATCGTGTCCCCCAGCTTGATCCCTGATCCTCATAAGCTAAGGTACTGGACCAAGGTCAATGGCGAGAAGAGGCAGGAAACCGGGACGGATGATATGATTTTCAGTGTAGGCCAGATTCTGGAGCATCTGAGTCGCGGGACTACGCTAAGAGCTGGTACGGTGATTCTCACAGGTACACCGAGTGGTGTTGGTCTGTTCATGGACCCTAAGGGTTTCTTGAAAGACGGAGATGAGGTTGAAGTGTATGTGGAGGGAATTGGAAGTATCGTCAATAAGATGAAGTTTGAGTAAGTGGAGAAGACAGGGTAAACGACTGTTCAATACAGGGGCTCATGGGCATAAATTCAAGAATATTACAGACCTCTAGTTTGATTAAAGCATGCGTAGGCATAGTGTCAATACTCGTCTGCCTGTTCCTTAAAGATCGCGATTAAGGTCCAACAGACAAACATACCCTGCGACCGCGAATTTACTCAGCCTCATCTGAAGCTCCCCATGCCTTCCACCTCCATCTAGACTGGTCAGGCAGCTCCAATTCATACCATGCAGGCGTACCAGGAATGTGTTCCACCAACTGCCACCCCAGTATCTCTGCCACGCGCAGCAACCATATCTCGCGAATTAATCCATACCGCGGCCTACCATCTGCTGGCTGCACAAGCTCAGCAGGTGCTGTCTCTACCTGTTCCTTGATCATCTCCTTGGCGAGTTCCCGTAGGCGATTCAGATGATAAGGTCCTATGTGGAAGACACTGAAAGTGTCATGTACAGCATACCAACCAACCTTGTGAATTTGGGCATCGATTTCTGCATCGTAGATAACAGCTTTGTGAATTAGCTTACTCATAGCGTTCCACATAAAGTGTACGATAGCTTGCGACCATAATGTGTCTATGAACATGTCGAGCGTAAAATGATGTGGCACGTCTGGGCGCGATCCTGGGTGGAAGACTGGCAGGGATGATTCCAAGAACAGGGTGCGTCGACATTTAGGGCACGTATTTGAATGCGAAACGTTTGTGTCGATCCACTTTTTGAGACAGGTAAGACCGAAGATGTGCTGACATTGCGTGCGTGTGGCTTTGTGCTCTTCATTGAATGCTTCATGACAGATATCGCAGGCTTCTATGATGTCGAGATCCCTGAAGAACTTTACTTTTGTCGGAAGTGGAGATCGTGGTGGGGTTGAGGTCATGATTTGGTGGTTCACTGGGGTGTGGGCGAGGCCCGGGTTGAAGTTGAGGCGGACTAGGTAGCTGGTGGCAGATGTTCTTAGGTAGCAACTGGTTGCTGTTTTACCTAGTAAAAGATAGTAACGTGATGTGTCCTGTAAGTTTTTATTATATTGCTTCACGCATCAGCCGCAGCAGCACATGATTGGGGCGTACTTTAGTTGCTACCTAGGTAGGATGGGATTTTATTGAGAACCACGAGTGTACTGAACACGGAACAGCTTCACTGCTCATCTATGATTGATAATAGTTCAGGACTGATGTTTGAGTGCAACTGAGAGCTTCCAATGAGCCGCGTACTGCTCAACCTCACAAGTACTATTATACAGAGCTGACGGCTGTCATCATAAGCATGCTCCCTTACTATGATCTACAGAAGAAGTCGCATGTATCCCGCGGATTTCGGAAGTGATCCAGCTATCTGATAGTAAGCTTCGGGATTTGAAGACCTGTGGAAGACGTTAGTGACCTAGAATCTCCCTGTGTGAAATTGCGATGTCGGCTTGTCTATAGCAAGCAGTGGCTTTCATAATGTGTCCATGGAAACAAAACGAAGAGAGATATCAGAAACGTAACTTGAGAGCTCCAGGTAATGGTACCAAAGCCGTGTTCTGTCAACCTCACCCAGATGAGATTTGCGTGGTACTGACAGGTGAGGGGTGCGTCATGGCCACGAGACGCTAGTGCCCACGCTAATTTCGAAGTTACGTTGAGGGCAGGCGCCCATGTACCCGAACCATCAACTTTGAAACAGCACAACAAAAGAACGCAAATACATCTCCCAT